TTGCTATTTCAAACGGCACGCCATCGACTGGCCCTTGTACAACTGGGGCTTGTTGGACTGCGTGTTTGAGCGCTTTAAATGCGTCATCACACTCTTTAGTCCACAAGTTTCCTAGTTTGCCTTGATGACATCTTAAGTGTCCAAAAGATTTAAGGTAGTCAGCTAAGTGTGGTACTCCATCTGAAAAGAAGTTTACAAACCCACACATAGTGTTAACATCTCTTCCTGTAGTTGGTGTTCGCCAATCTAACAGGTGTTCTACCTTACCGGGGTCGATCTTAATACCTTCCCCAGATATATGGTAGCCTAAGAGCTGTATTTCGCTCATTGCGAAGTGGCATTTCTTCTCGTTAATCTTGAAGTTTTGCTCATTGAGTCTCTTAAGGATTCGTCTGACTAATGCGGCGTGTTCGCCTGTAGTCTTAGAAAAGATGACTATATCATTTATATAGACTTGCACGTTAGGCATGTCTGCAAACATTTCTTCCATTTCTTGTTGGAAGAATGCTGGTAAAGAGTGTAACCCGAAAGGTGCACCTCTGAACAGGTATTGTTTGTCTTTCCACGTAAAGCTAAAGTATTTACGGTGGGGTTCATATACCTGCATTTGATGGTATCCTTGTGTAAGGTCTATAGTTGTATACACTGTAGCACCTTCCATGCTTCGCAGTAGCTCGTTAATACGAGGTAAGTGAAAGCTATGAGTCGGCAATATTTTATTTATTGGACTCATATCTAAACATACTCTAACTTTCTTAAACGATCCGTCAGAGTTATGCTGGTCTACGGCTAGCAGTGCCAAGTTAACTGGCGTTTGTAGATAGTTAATTTCTATCACACCGTCTGCTAGCCATTTCTCCACTTGTTCTTTTACAACAGCCTCGTGTCTCCAGGATACATGGTTCCTTGAGGGGTTATTTAACTGTGTAAAGTCTACCTTGGTTAAGTCAAGACTGACATATCCGTCGTTAAAGCGGAATCTGTGATCTTTATTTTCTTATTAACAAGAATCAGATCCATGATTTCGTCCGCAAAGTCAGGTATTAATGCCTTGACTGTGTTTGACGGGGGGGGCTTATATGGATTCAGACAGTTATCGTCTGATGATCCTTTAATGGATCTATGTTAGTTGGTAGACCAGTGACGGTTATACCTAGAGTAAGTAAATCACTCATTCCGACTATAATGTCGTACTTCTGTGACATCTTAACTATCACAGCTTGAGTAGTAATACTCCTATCATCGGCCAGGGAGATTTTAACATCTGTGGCGATGGTATCACGCGTAGCAGTTTTATCATCAGCTAAAATGAGATGAGTTGTTTGTGTTCGTGACATCTTAACTATCACAGCTTGAGTAGTGATACTCCTATCATC